AAATGACCTTGGATCAGTGTCTTCATTGCCCGAGGATGATGATATCATGCTCATGACAACATGACATTATCACCAATATATTGATGTTAGCAACTGGGTCACAACTAAATCTTCGTTGTTTTCTTTCTCAAATCTTCCATTATATTATTTGATTGCTCTGATACCAAGTTGAAAAAATAAAAACGATATTAGGATTAGGGTTATGAGAGAAAGAGAAAATAAAAAGAGGAAGAGAAAAGGAAAGGGAGAATAAATTGATATGTAGGTTAGGTTGTCTTAAACTCTCTTTTTTGTAATAGAGTAATATTAGAGTAATTACAATATTACCCTACACTAATTAACTTATATCTAATATAAAAAATAAGAACTCTAACAAATTTCAATTTGGAACGTGAAATTGTAATTTTAAAATCTCTAAAATATATTGTTGGGTGGGGAAATTACTTCTCTAATAGGGACAAGTGCCTATATATTTGATATTATAAACTAATGTTGACATGGTGGGGAAATGGTGGGTGTTGTGATTATTCATTGTGGTGGTGGTGTGTGATTGTTGTGAAGGATGTGGTGTTGCAGTGGTGACGGTGATAATGGTATTGTCTAACTATGTTGATGCAGCAATGGCAACGGTGGCCAAAAATATTCATGATGTAAAGACAAAATATCGATAATGATGGTAGGAGTTACCATACGTGATGAGTATAGATAATAGTGATGGTTGTTGGAAGAACACTAATACTGATGTTTATATTTTTTGGTGTAATGGTAATAGTGGTGACTAGGTGGCAATATTAGGAAATGAAGATATGGCTATAGTGGTCAAAAGCGCATTGGTGACAATGATATAATGGGGATGGTGATTGAAAGAATGTTCATAACAATTACATAACATGCATCGTGGGCAATGATAATGGAGGTACAATGGTTGGACATTGAAATAATGGTGGCGATGGTAGTGGTTGGTGTCTAATGACAAATTCATCTAAAAGCTTAAGCTATTACAAAGAGTATAAGTGTTCATAGACTTCAACAGACCCCCTCATATATTAGCTACATTTTTCCATACAAGTTTCATAATTACTAGGATGGCTACAAAATTTGAGCACAACATCTCCTAAGCCCTACCCGNTAAGTGTTCATAGACTTCAACAGACCCCCTCATATATTAGCTACATTTTTCCATACTTACAAGTTTCATAATTACTAGGATGGCTACAAAATTTGAGCACAACATCTCCTAAGCCCTACCCGAGACAAAGTTATATCATCCCCCACAAAACACATTGCAATGCATGGAGGGGCACTCAAGGCTCATACACTAGCTTAGGATAAGCTATTGTACTAATCTTGAGCAAGCTTTAGTAATACTCATCGTGCGGACCCTCACTTGCATGTGTAAAGATGGGCAGAAAAATCTATAATATACAACATGGTAGACTTTAATAAGTTCATCCAACAGTCTCAAATAGACTCATTCAACGGTGACTAACATCCCTCTTGCACTGGTGGATTCCTAAAATGAGTTGAGATAACGACCCTTTGAACGATGAACCTAAAACATAAGAAAAGTCAGGAAAGGGGCCGGGTGTGTACCTAGCTAATCCCCTTTGAAATTTAAGTCGGTCAGCATTCGAGTCAGAGTGCACAATGTATTCTTGATTCCAAATTGCGTACCTTAGCTTAGCTTTTTAAAGAGTATTTATACCTAGATTCGTAAGGATGACTTTGATCTGGAGTCCCATCTTAGAATTTAATGATCTAGGTTCACAATCTAGTATAATGAATACTATTCTGTTATGTCTCATTAATGCTAATTGCCTGAACAACTGGATCTTCTCTTGGGACCCCGTCGAGCATTCATTGTTCGATCTCCAGCCATTAAGTGCTCCAATTTGGTACTCAAAGTCCACACCCGAGCTTTCATAAGGAAATAAATCCCCTCGGAATCCACCGAGCACTTCCCTTTGGTACGGTGACCATTATTGCATTATGATGATGACTGTCTCCACATTCTTCGAGGATAGCCATTAATGGTCTGTCATACCAACACGACCCACATTAATGAGCTATCACACTTCATTTAATGGTAAGTTCTAAGTGGCATAATTGCTTGGCTCCTTCTCCTAGTGAATTGCATGCCATTTGACAATTGTGGATATCCACATGTCGAGTTCTTATTGGCGCGTTGCCTAATGTCTCATCAACTGCCCCCAACATCCATTTTCCTATCGCTATAGGACACGTGGTACACAGAGAATGGAGGCTTCCTTAGCACACCTAATTTTTAGGGACGGTTACTTGCACGTCTGGCACCTAGTTTTGAATTTCAATTGATGGCCTTTGTTTCCTTGATTCCCGCTCATATTCTAATCAATAGAAATAGGAAAGCCTTCAGTTTTCTCGAGACTCTTTAGATGTTCAAATTCGCAAGCTCTACTATCCTCCCGAGCGACTTTCCTCTATTTTTCTTGAGTAACTCCCTTGAAGGGGTCCTTTGAAGAAGTAGACTATAAGTATTTTCTTTTATTCTTCTCGTTCCTTCTCTTTCTACATAATTCACATGGTCATTATACGCAAACCAACACACCCAGGTCTTCAAATAGGCCCAGAAAAACGGAGAAGTTAAGGAAAACCTAGCTGAACGAGTCCATTGTAGACGACTTTAGGTCCACCTATAGGATTCCCAAGAACGTCTTCACCTTCGTTTTTGATCCCAGTACCATAGGATAGACATGGAGAATGTTGACCTTAGCCTTTCCATACTAAGGCTATCATAGAGGGAGGAGTTAGGTTCCCTCTCCCCCTCTCNGAATGTTAACCTTATGCCTTTCCATACTAAGGCTATCATAGAGGGAGGAGTTAGGTTCCCTCTCCCCCTCTCTTCTGCTTAGACTCCTGATGCGCTTGAGACTCTTCTCTCTTCAGTGTTGTATCAACCTTTTTGGGGTAGTCATGGGCGTAGTTGTCCTAAACGCTCTGCTAGCAATGGACTTGGGGGTGGACAATATACAGTTTTGCTATGACTTGAAGCTAGCCAATAATGGCAAATATCATCTGAAGTCACACGGGACTCCTCCATGTACTCAGTGACACATATGCCTGACTGAACTAACTCAGACAAAAGGTACAAACGAGATCTCATCATGCTCGGTAGTAAATGGGAGATGGGTGAGGGATCCGAGTATGACAGCCTCTACTACCCCAAGGTACTAAGGGGACTAAGTGCGCACTTTATCGAGTTCCTCACTAATTGGCTATTGTACTTGATGCTGACCTTACATTTTTCCTTACAAAGGGATATAAGAGGGACGTTGCCCAACCTCAAAAGCTTCTGTTGCCTTTAACAATCTCCTGAAGGTGTGGGCTCTTGACCCGGAAGACCTTTTTGCTCAAGCTGTGCACGTGTTCCTCGGATATTGCCCCAGTTACACCCATTTCTCCCAAGTTCTTCCACCTTTCAGTCCTTCTATCTGGGTGGATCGTTCTAGCAAGGAGAAGGAAGAGGACGACCCTGACCATGACTCCGAAGCCACTTATTCTGGACATAACTCTCCTTTTGCAATAGATATGTTTCACATTCCACCGATCACCGCAGAGAGCCTGGAAGTCGCCTTCGCATCCAAACAGGCTTAAACCTCGAAGCCTGACAGCTCCTTTGCAACCACGACCACTGTTATCCCTCCGTCTACGCCCCCATAACCGCCCCTGCAACAATAATAACAACAAGAACAATGACAACAACAGCAACAACAACGGCTGGCTTTGCCGAGGGTCCAACAAAAAATGGTAACCACACCGTGAGCCCCACTCGGACCGAAGTGATGATCGACAAGAGCAACGTAGTGGTCGGGAAGATGACCAGTCCATTGAACGCTGAGTGAAGCATCGTCATGATGTTCTGGTGCCTNAACAACAGCAACAACAACAACTGACTTTGCCGAGGGTCCAACAAAAAATGGTAACCACACCGTGAGCCCCACTCGGACCGAAGTGATGATCAATAAGAGCAACGTAGTGGTCGAGAAGATGACCAGTCCATTGAACGCTGAGTGAAGCATCGTCATGATGTTCTGGTGCCTTCTAGTCTAGCTGACTGGGCCACCTCCTCAGTTACCTAAAGGGGAAACGTCATCCTAGAATCTAACTCCATCGTCTATTCCCCTAAGGTGCCTCTTGCTTTCAATAGGACATTGCATTTTGATGCGGACATGGCCATGCTAGACGAGTATAGGAATAACTGCCTTCTTCAGGGAGTGGTTCAACATAACTTGGTGATGAGTTTCTGTATGCGTCTCTCATTCTCTACTCTCCCCTAATTTATTCCCGTACTCACATTCGTTCTNGAAACGTCATCCTAGAATCTAACTCCATCGTCTATTCCCCTGAGGTGCCTCTTGCTTTCAATAGGACATTGCATTTTGATGCGGACATGGCCATGCTAGACGAGTATAGGAATAACCACCTTCTTCAGGGAGTGGTTCAACATAACTTGGTGATGAGTTTCTATATGCGTCTCTCATTCTCTACTCTCCCCTAATTTATTCCCGTACTCACATTCGTTCTTTGTTTTAGGCTTGTCAGTAAATGGGGGTCATCATTGATCATTTTTTGGACTATCGAACCAAAACCGAGATGTCCTAGGCCAAACTTGAGAAAAAAAATCGCCACATTGCCCAGGTGGAAAGGATGGTTAACAACCAATCAAAGAGCATTGCCAACCTTATCCGTAGGGCAGAAGGCTTGTGATCTGAGCTGGAGAAGAGTAAGGCATTTGAGGCTAAGGCCGTGAAAAGGATGAATTGAAAGTTTTAGATGCGGAGACTAAGTTATTGGAGGCTAAGGCTAACTGTGCAATGTTAACTGACTTCGAAAGTGGAGATGCTTGAGAATGAGAAGGCTAGGGAGGCAGAGNGAGGATGAATTGAAAGTTTTAGATGCGGAGACTAAGTTATTGGAGGCTAAGGCTAACTGTGCAGTGTTAACTGACTTCGAAAGTGGAGATGCTTGAGAATGAGAAGGCTAGGGAGGCAGAGAGAATAAACATTGCCTATACGGATGTCTCTAAATAATGCCAAGATCAGTTTGTCAAGGTCTTTGATGACAAAAAATATAAGTCCTTCAAAAAGGGTGGGGATGAGATGCTCCAAGCCATTGGGGTGATGCCGAATCTGAGCTCTTTTTACATTACATTTATATCCCCCAACAGGTAACCATGGCACCTTAAGAGGCCGAACCAAATGCAGATGCGACGATCCAGCTGATATCCGCCAAGGAGGAAAATGTAGTGGCTGTGAACGAGCCCATCACCATAAGTGATGGTGATTCAGAGGAAATGTCTCCCTTTCGACTCTCTTTCCCTATACTTCCCATGCATCCTCGGGACCCTTTGGTTCCTAACAACTCTATCATCAATCCGAGTGAAGTTGAGTTTAGGAAACTCAAGGACACGCTTACCGACCTTAGCGGGGAAGGTTCTCTGAGGAGGCACCATATTGGGCTTAGTGGCGAAGAGCTTGGCAGTGACCTTGGTGATGAAGCCAGACCTGGAAACCACTAAGGCTTTGATAGGATTTTGTCTTATTTTGTATGCTTGGAGGATGCAAAGCCTCCCGTTTGTCAATGCACTTTCATTTCTGTTCATTATGTATGTCTTTCTGGGAGTTGCGCTCCATGTACAGAGTTATCCCTCTCAGGGTCATACCCCTAATGCCCGAGCCCAAGGCTCGTTAACTTTTTGAGGGCGATGCTCCAAAGGTGGAGGCTTACCCTTCTCAGGGACATACCCTAACGAGTGAGCCCCAGGCTGGTGTTAATTTCAAGTAACTCTTGGTTCACAAAATTTACTTAGTAATAATATTTCTTCAAGTTTGATACGTTCCATGGTTGGGTAACATCTTTTTCCCACATGTNTATTGGGCTTAGTGGCGAAGAGCTTGGCAGTGACCTTGGTGATGAAGCCAGACCTAGAAACCACTAAGGCTTTGATAGGATTTTGTCTTATTTTGTATGCTTGGAGGATGCAAAGCCCCCCGTTTGTCAATGCACTTTCATTTCTGTTCATTATGTATGTCTTTCTGGGAGTTGCGCTCCATGTACAGAGTTATCCCTCTCAGGGTCATACCCCTAATGCCCGAGCCCAAGGCTCGTTAACTTTTTGAGGGCGATGCTCCAAAGGTGGAGGCTTACCCTTCTCAGGGACATACCCTAACGAGTGAGCCCCAGGCTGGTGTTAATTTCAAGTAACTCTTGGTTCACAAAATTACTTAGTAATAATATTTCTTCAAGTTTGATACGTTCCATGGTTGGGTAACATCTTTTTCCCACATGTCTTGTAGCCTATACGATCCCGTGTTTCCTACAGTTAGCTCCCGAGTGCCACCCACTACGTTACGCAACACTAGGTCCCCCAACTGAAAGCTTCTTGTTCAAACCTTCTTCTGATTCTGCTTGGATAACTCTCCTTAGTATTTGGCTAGTTGTTCAAATCCTAGCTTCTTTCTTTCCTCGGCCAAATCGAGATCCCTGGCTAGGGTTTGATCATTATTTTCCGATTCAAAGGCTTGGCTCTTTATAGTTAAGAGCCCTACTTCCAAAGGTATGACCAATTCCACTTCATATGTCATGGCGTAAGGAGTTTCCCCTGTGGAATTCCTAGGGGTGGTCCTGTATGTCCATATGACGTTTAGTAACTCTTCAGTCTATCTGGCCTTAGCCTTTTCCAACCTCTTTATTATCCCAGTCGACACTGTCTTATTGTAGACTTCTGCCTATCCATTACATTGAAGATATGTTAAGGTAGAATAGTAATTGTTATTCCGAACCCTGAGCAGAACTTCCTAAATGGTCCGCTGTTGAATTGGTTGCCGTTGTCGGATACGATGGCGGGCGAGATTCCAAATCGAGTGATGATATTCTACCATATGAATTTCTTGGTCTAGACATCCCGAATGCGACTTAGGGGCTCGACCTCGATCCATTTTATGAAGTAATTTGTGGTAACTAGGAGGAGTTTCTTGTTTACAACGCCTTTGGCAGTAGGCCCACTATGTCCATGCCTCACTCAGAAAATGGCCATGAACTAGTTAGAAGGTTGAGGTCTCCTATCGACTGACGGATGATAAGGGCGAATTTTTGGCACTTGTCACATTTCTAAACATACCCCTTAATATCCTTTTGCATATATGACCACCACTACCCTTGAGATATCGCGCGATGTGCAAGGGACCTTCCTCCCATGTGATCACAATAGATCCCTTCGTGGATTTCATATAACAATGGCTCAATCCTATCATCTGGAACACATAATAAATATGGTTCCGAGAAGGATCGCCGATATAACTTATGGTCGGGGGATACCCAAAACCTGAGAGCTTTTAGTTTAATCTTTCTGGCTTCATTGACAACCTCCAAGAGTGTCCCGTCCGTTAGGTACTTGATTGTGGGGTCCATCCAGCTTGTAGTACATCTTGGGCATCCACCGAAAGTATCTCCTCGACATACAAGTCCCTTATGCTTGGGTTCTCCTTGTATTCCACAGTAATCTGCAGAGTGACCTCCGAAGCCAGGGCTGAGGCAAGGCATGACAATGCATCAGCATGGCTATTGTGATCCCTAGAGATTTGGGACACTTCCACCTTCTCGAACTTCTCCATTCTTGACTTTGCCTTTTGGTAATAGGCTTTTATTTTGTCATCCCGGGTTTCGAAGTCCCCATTGACCTGTTTGACTACCAACTAGGAATCACAAAAAACATGGAGGTGCCTAATCTTGATCGAGAATGCCGTGCTGATTCTTGCCAATAGCGTCTCGTACTCGGCCTCATTGTTGGATGCTTTAAACCCAAGTCTGATTGCTTGTTACATTGTAATTCCTCTAGAATTGGTCAAAACTAAACCCACTCCTACCCTCTTGCGTTCGAGGACCCGTCCACGTGCAAACTCCAAGTGGTATTATGGTTGGGAGCTACAGGGATCTCCTCCGTAGAGAACTCGACAATGAAATTAGGTAGGACCTTAGTGGAAGTGCGAGGTTTATAACTTATTTTGAACTCTCCTAACTCCATGACCCACTTGGCGACCCTCCCTGATATCTACTTTGTAAAGGATAGGCCTTAGAGGTTGGCCCATTAGGACCTCAATAGGGTAAGCTTGGAAGTAGTGATTGAGCTTCCTCGCCAATGTAACCAGCGCAAGTATGAGTTTCTCCATTGGTAAANACGAGGTTTATAACTTATTTTGAACTCTCCTAACTCCATGACCCACTTGGCGACCCTCCCTGATATCTACTTTGTGAAGGATAGGCCTTAGAGGTTGGCCCATTAGGACCTCAATAGGGTAAGCTTGGAAGTAGTGATTGAGCTTCCTCGCCAATGTAACCAGCGCAAGTATGAGTTTCTCCATTGGTAAATATCTTGTCTTGGCGTCAAGTAGGGTCTTGCTAAAATAATAGATAGGTTTCTATAGACTTTCAAATTCCTTTACCAATGCCTTATTGACTGCATACTCTGAGACTAATAGGTAAAGGCTCAAGATTTCACCAGCAGCTGGAACAAACAGAGTGGGAGAGGATCTTAAATACTTCTTCATTCCTTCTAGGGCTTGATCACATTCCTCATCCCNGTTTCTATAGACTTTCAAATTCCTTTACCAATGCCTTATTGACTGCATACTCCGAGACTAATAGGTAAAGGCTCAAGATTTCACCAGCAGCTGGAACAAACAGAGTGGGAGAGGATCTTAAATACTTCTTCATTCCTTCTAGGGCTTGATCACATTCCTCATCCCAGGGGTCCTTCGCCACCCCTTTGTGCATAGAAAAGAACGACTTAACCTATCTGACGACTTGGAAATAAACCGGTTAAAGGCCGTCAGCATTCTAGTGAGCTTTTGTACATCCTTGATGGTCCTCAGCTTTTGTATCCTTTGCACGGCCTGTATTTGATAGGGATCGACTTCTATGCCTCGATGAGTAAATAGGTAATCCAAAAATTTATTTGAGCTTGAATGCACACTTTGAGGCATTCAATTTCAAACTGTACTTACAGAGCACAACAAAGGTTGTCTAAAGTTCCCTAAGGTGGTCGACTTTGACCGCACTTTTTACCAACATGTCGTCGATTTAGACTTCCATGGTGGTGCCAAGTTGATCTTTGAACATCATGTTCATCAGGCACTGATATGTGGTACCAGCATTCTTCAAGCCAAAAACGACATTACTTTGTAGCAATAAATCCTTCGGGGTGTGATAAACATCATTTTCTCTTAATCCACTTTGTGTAAAGGGATCTGGTGATATCCTGCTCGGGCATCCATGAAGGTAATTCGTTAATGCCCCGCGATTGCATCGACGAGCTGGTCAACCTTTGGTAGCAAGTAATCATCCTTAGGGCATGCCTTATTGAGATCCGTGAAGTCCATGTAGACCCGTCAGTTTCCGTTTTCTTCTTGGCACAAACAGTGTTGGACAACCATTCATGGAATTGGACCTCCATGATTGACCCAACCCCAAGTAGTCCTCATCGACTACTTACACGCGAAGAGGTGCTGACCGCCAAACTTTCTGTTTCACAGTTTTGAAGGTTGGGTCAACGTGCAACCAGTGGTAGATTACCACGGGGCTTATCCTCTTCATTTGGACAAGCACCCATGCAAACACGTCTTCATTCCGACAGAGGAAGTTTACCATGTCCAACCTTTTGGCCTACCCCAGTAATGCCCCCACCAAAAAGAACCTTTTCTCATCGCCAGGACGGAGGAATACCTTAACCAAGACTTTCGTCAATTGATCGGTTGGGTCAACCATGGGTTCATCGATTCAAGCCTACCGAGCTGTGATTGCTATTTGACCAACATTGCCTTGGGATTATGCTCTTTAGCCTTGGCGTTAACCCCAGCCTTTACTGTCGCATAGAAACAGTACTTCGACCAGCCCTGATCGCCGCGGATCTCCATGTTCCCCTTCGACATAGGGAACTTGATTTTCTGATGATATGATGAGTTTATCGCCTTCAGGGCGTGCAACCACATCCTTCTCATAATAGTGTTGTAAGAAGAGTAGGAATCTATCACCACGAACTCAATGGGGACGACGACAATTTCGACAGTGACTATGAGAGTTATCTTTCCAAGAGGAAGTACATACGAACTGTTGAATCCTACGAGAAGGGTCTTCACGGGTTTTAGGTCCATTTGTGTGAACCCCATCTTCTGGAAGAGATTGTCATACATTACCTTGGATGAACTTTCTGAGTCTACTAGGATCCTTTTAATGTCATACTTCTCGACTCGAAGGGTGATCACCAAGGCGTCTTTGTGTGGAAAGGCAAGTCCTGCCAGGTCAGTGTCAAAGAAGTGAATTGCTTCGGAGTCGAGCCGAGGTCGTTTAGATGAATGCCCCCCACTCTTATTTTCCTCCACCTTCACAACCTATGCCACCCTTTAAAGATCGACATGGAGTGAATTGTAAGTGGGTTGCTCGATCGTGCAAGCGTGTATAACTTCCATTACGATCGCTGTCCCTCGGCTTGCCTTTGCTGCCTCCCTTGCCATACCCTTGGTGTTGGTGTTGTCAATGAACTCGCCGAAGTGACCTTCTCGCACCAACTGCTCAAGAAACAACTTGTAGATCGAATCCCTGGTAGAGGGATCCCCTAGCATCTTAGGGGACCATTTGAAAATGGGCTCCTGTTTGATCTTGTGAAATATCATTTAGATGGGTTCTTTGAAGATGGTGTTCAACCCTGGAAGGATATGCGGCTTGGGACTGGTGTCGGTGCCCCCTCCTGTTGGGGGCCTCTTTATCTTATTTTTTAGGACTGACAGCGTTGGATTCGAGAATAACGGTCTNACTTGGGACTGGTGTCGGCGCCCCCTCCTGTTGGGGGCCTCTTTATCTTATTTTTTAGGACTGACAGCGTTGGATTCGAGAATAACGGTCTCTTCCTCCACCTAGGCATACTTGTTAGTGCAAGACATCAGGTCCTTCATGTCTACAAGAGTCTGTTTGGTCNGCTTGGGACTGGTGTCGGTGCCCCCTCCTGTTGGGGGCCTCTTTATCTTATTTTTTAGGACTGACAGCGTTGGATTCGAGAATAACGGTCTCTTCCTCCACCTAAGCATACTTGTTAGTGCAAGACATCAGGTCCTTCATGTCTACAAGAGTCTGTTTGGTCAAGGATCGGTATTGGTCAGCATCTCAGGATAGTCCAAGTCTAAAGGTTGCGCTACCATAGTCTCAGAATATGCCTCAATTTTGTTGACCTCTTCCCAATATCAGATTGCATATTGTCGAAGGGCTCTCCACTCCTCTGCCTAAGTGTCAGTAGTGCACCAATGTCCTTTAGACTTTTACTGCTAGTGATAAATCGAGCAATGAACAGCTCGGTCATTTGCTTCCATGACCTGATACTTTTTAAGGCTAGATTCTAGTACCATTTAATAGCGGTGTCCCAGAGGCTTATCGGGAACACACGGCACAATAACTTGTGGTTAGTATCATATATGGACATAAGTTACTTGTACTGCCAAAAATGGCTCTCGGGTTCTATTCTCCTGTCATAAACCTTGAAGCGGGGTGCAGTGAATTTCCTTGGTATCTCCACCTCCCTAATGGCTTGGATGAACGGTGTCACAATTTGCTATCTTCCGTGTTGTCGTTCTCCCTTCAAAGGGTCTTTCGACATTTGGCATTGAGGCGAGATCAAAGATCTTCTTAGGGCCCCTTATCTTTGGGTTCCCAAGCCGTTGAGCCTGTGTGTGACTCTGTTGCTGCTGCACCTCTAGAAAGCCTATATCGGATGTGTTCACAGGACAGAGCCTGATCGTGATTTGTCTCTCCATCGCTTTTGTTCTCAGGGGCATGCTCTCTATGACCATGGGGTCCACAATTCTTGCCCAGGCANCTGCTGCTGCACCTCTAGAAAGCCTATATCGGATGTGTTCACAGGACAGAGCCTGATCGTGCTTTGTCTCTCCATCGCTTTTGTTCTCAGGGGCATGCTCTCTATGACCATGGGGTCCACAATTCTTGCCCAGGCATTGGTGTAAGTCCTTCCCCAAGTTTCTTGTAGGGTATCCTAGGAGTAGCTCCGACGGATGCTCCTGTCCTCACGTCTCTTGCTCTGTCAGCTAGTTTCTTTTGATAACCCGAAGTCGTCGAGCCAATTTGGACATTAGTGTTATCTTTCTTGAGTTGCCTTAAATGGCCTCCCAACTGCTTCTCCATCAACTCCAATATTTCTCAAGCTAGAGCGCCTTGTCCTTCCAGGCTTTGGTCCACTGGCAATGTTTGNCGTCTCTTGCTCTGTCAGCTAGTTTCTTTTGATAACCCGAAGTCGTCGAGCCAATTTGGACATAAGTGTTATCTTTCTTGAGTTGCCTTAAATGGCCTCCCAACTGCTTCTCCATCAACTCCACTATTTCTCAAGCTAGAGCGCCTTGTCCTTCCAGGCTTTGGTCCACTGGCAATGTTTGTTGCGAATTACACCGAACTCCATCTGATTGGTTTCAGGAGAGAGATTCCATGACTGCGAAGAAATGGTCAACTTCCGCGTATCTCACATGTAGGCTGCCCCCATCTCACCCTGGGATCGAGTGTTCACCAAGCCTGTGTGGCAACATGGAAATATGATTTGAGAAATTTTTCACAGACGACTCCAAATTGCACGGGTGGATTCTTGCAATGAGTTAAGATAGCGACTCTCTGAACGATTCCGAATGATGAACTTAAAATAGAAAAAGATTCAAGAAAGGGGCCGGGTATGTACCTGGATAATCCCCTCTAAAGCTTAAGTCAATCGGCGTTTGAGTCAGAGTGCACAATGTATTCTTGATTCCAAATTACGCACCTTAGCTTAGCTTTTTGAGCGATATTTATACCTAAGTCCATAATGATGACTCTAATCCAGAGTCCCATCCTCGAATTCAATGGCTTGGGTTCAAAATCTAGTATACTGAGTGCTATTCCTTCATGTCTCATTAATGCTAATTAACCGAACAAGTGGATCTTCTCTCGAGACCCCGCCGAGCATTCATGGTTCAATCCTCCGCCATTGAGTGCTCCACATCGGTACTTAGAGCCCATACTTGAGCTTTTGTGAGAAGGAAATGGATCCCCTCGGAATCCCCCGAGGCCTTCCCTTATGTACGGTGGCCATTAATGCGTTGTAATGATGACTATTTCCACATTCTTTGAAGATTAGACAACCATTAATGGTTTGTCATACCAACGCGACCCACATTAATGAGTTGTTACACTTCATTTAATGCTAGGTTCCGAGTGGCATAATTGTTCGGCTCCTCCTAGTGAATTGCATGCGTTCTGACAGCTGTGGATATTCGCGTGTTGAGTTCTTATTGGAGTGTCTCCTAATGTCCCGTCATCTCTTAAAACCATTCACATTGAATTTCCTCCTCCACCTCCCCCCCCACCCCTTCCAAAAAAAGTCTATAATTTATCACTTTCGTTGCACCGTTCCTTTAAGCACGGGTTACTCCTAGTCAACATATATAATCGAACAAAACAAGGTGCATTTATGACACAAACAATAAAAGACCAATACCAATGAAATTGAAACAAAGAGTTTTGCCCAAAGAATCTTGAAACCCAATTTAATACAATGTTAAACCATCAACTCATGTAAAAGTTTAAACTGTTAGAAAGGGTGTAGAATAAACATCAACAGAAGATTTCACTAATGGTCACCTTGTGGTAGTGGAGGTGCATGAAAGTGGGATGACAGAGGTGTTGGTGAAATTGGTACTTATTTAAAGTTTCAATTTCTGATTTATAGGTCTTCAAATTGAGGTGAAGAACCTCACTCCAATCCGTATGCTTAGTTTTTGGCTAAGCACACTAATTTAATTTCTTTATGTCTCTCACATTTTATGTTCATCATAACTTCGAGTTTTTTGCCAATTGTGATGCTAGGATGGTTTGTGTTGAACAAATATTTTGATTTCATCCAGTATTTATATTGCTGAAATAGCAATTAATATCTACTTACTGCATGAGTCACACTAAGCATTTAATTGATAGTGGTCTATGCTTAGTAAGAATTGAAAATCTAATTTGGGGCTACCTTGCCTTTTATGCTACACATGCAGTTTGAGAAAGAGAGACTGAGACACCATGTTCAAGAAGAAGATCACTTATAGAGATGCGAAGAAGAAAGAACTGCACAGAAAAGAATAAAAAGGATAAAGAAACCAAGGTGTCAAGCTCTTTACAAATGCGCTGCACACATGGCAGCAAGTAGGATATTAGAGTGGGAACTGGTTTCAAAATAGCTTCAGGTCAGAAGTTATTTTGAGAATTTGTGTCACTTTAGCAGAAGTCTCTACTATTGTCATCAAGTAGCCAGCTCATCAACAGAACCCCAATCCTTCACACTACAGTCATTCGGAAAAATAAAGGAAATGGATCTTTTCTCTTCTAGTTAATTCCGGCCATCAAATAGTTTACCAAAACAGAAAGATACAAATCCATCTATCAGCTCCCTAGATCAAAAAACTGCGAAATATTTCCTCTTTTCCACCTATACTCTTCATTCTACCAACGACATAATAATTTCTAATTGTACATTATATATATATATATATATTTATACATTATAAACATATACACACACATATATTGATGGAATATTAGAAAGCATAAAAGCAAGTGAATTTTCTGAAAATATTAGAGAGAACGCATCGTATTGCCAGNATATATATATATATATTTATATTTATACATTATAAACATATACACACACATATATTGATGGAATATTAGAAAGCATAAAAGCAAGTGAATTTTCTGAAAATATTAGAGAGAACGCATCGTATTGCCAGATTCATATTGGATACACAAATACATCGATAAAAAGATGTTTAAGAAAAGAATCCAAGAGTTTTAACTTGAAAGAAAAGCAAACAGTTTTAAACATTAGGCATCTTTGAACACTTGAAGCCAGTGTATACCTTGCATGAAACATCTCGATACAATTTTTTACCCTCCAAATTTACAGGAACCTTACTCAGTTGACTTAAATTATTCGAACTAGATGAGGGCACATTTTTCCTCATTTCCTCCATTCTGCAAGCGCAAACATAATTGTCAGTAATTGTCTGAAATAGTTCACATCTTGAAGCATCAACCAAGTCAGAAACGACTCCCTACCTCACAAAGTGGAGTATTTTCCTTTAAAAATGCCTCAACACAAGGAATCAAATAAAATAGGATATCCCAGAATCCATTTAGAACCCTTAAATTTGTTAATAAAATGCTGATGAGAATGAAACTTGAGGAAATCACTCATTTATGCAAAGGAACCGATCTCTACTAAACAACTAAGGTAACTCTAAATAAGTGTGAATTCAAATATAACAAGAAATTGATGTGCCAACCATGAACAGCAGACATATAAACCATAAAAAACAAAATATGACCACTTTATCAATCAAATAAAAAATAAATAAAAACAAAATTTTAACTTGCCCACACATAGTTTAGATTTTGAAAATACAATTATGGTTGACTGAAAGGATAAAAAAGTAGAGACTATAGCACCAAAACAAATATGTAGAGAATAGACAAGGTCGTCTAAGTTTTGCAAGATGAAGGAATAATGGAACAAAAAACAAGCAGGAAGATCCTTCAATGTATTCGGCTATTCGCCTTTTGTGTTGTAAATAAATCAGGACTCTACACAATTGAAGTAACAAGGAACAAAATAGAACCAGAAACTTCCCTACAAATATTAGAGATTTTGGATTTTTTATATGAGCCATCTTCGACCAAAATATCTGAAATTTCCAGTTTACTTTCCACCCTTGCCTTATTAAAATACATGTGGAGGAATATGAAACATTTTCTTGCTTCTCCTAACAATGAGGAATAGAATATCCCAAACTATCACAAAAGGGGACTTACACATATCCATCCAAAGGCCCTCAAATCTACAAATGACTTCGATTTTTAAACAGCTCCCATCATACTTTTCCTTTCCCAAAGAGAAGTTCTCCGTATCTCAACAATTGAGTGTAAGAGGGCTTGGATGAGCAGGCTAAAATGAGTCTTCTAGGCACAAAAACAGAATAATTGTGACAATAAATTAATGGGGTACAAGTCTTCTGGTTTGAGTCGGATTAGCAAATAATTTTGACTTTGCTTAAAAGTGGTAACACTAGTTAGAAACCTATCATAGAGAAATCCTCTACCATAACAAATACCTAACTATTACCAAAATTCTGACCCCCACATTCTAGAAAAGTGAATCTTCTCGATAAGGTAACAATCTTGCAGTTGGCCTCACTAAGCAAAAGATGGGAGCAAGCAGTTTGTACCGGTGGAAGAAAATTGGAATCATTATGATCAGACCAACAATTTATTTCTAAACAATGTACTCTGTACAAGAGCTAATTAGAAAATGTTTTAATGCTATGGAGAGAATTTTTCTTAGCATGAAACTTGGTTCGCTTGTGACCACACCTTGGTTAATAATGGTGGGGTCTGCCTCTTGGTTAAGAGAATCTGACTCAACATTTTTTGTTTTGATACCATTACACATTCCGTGTAAACTACGAGTCTAGTGGGACTCCTCTTGGTCAATATGGCCTGAATCACTCACCACTTATTCTAGCATTTTGTGCAAATCATCTAACGCCGTTTCCTGATGTTGTAGACGATGCGTTTCTGAGTTGATGGCCAATACCCAAATTTGGACCATGATTCATACCCAATACATCCCTTATACCACCCTCGAGTATGGGGAAATGCTTTGAGTAGCAGCCAAACATGCCAAAATAGTCCCCTACATAACTTTAAAGAACCATAGGTATCTTTCCCTCAATTGAACAAAAAACATGAATATTTTTCGAATTCTGAAAAACTAATTGTCAAAGAACATTTGATTCATTGATTGAGAAAGACTCAATATTATTGTAACTTCGTAGCTGTCTAAACCTTAAGGGACTCCCAATCTGAAATCTCTATCAAGTTCCAACACTGGAAGAATATCTTGTATAACTCGGTTTATAGGAACTTTTTTTTGGACGCAGTTTATAGGAACTCACACCTCCAAAACTAGATTCTATTCAAAACCTTAAAATTTCATCAACACAAATCAGTCTACTTTCTTTCCTCCTCCAAAGATGGCGATATGGTTCATTCATATTTTGTTCAGAAATCTTCATTGAATGACTGAGGATAACCTTTTGAAATTCCTCATTCATTTAACTTATGACCTAATAAAAATGTGCCATAAAAACATGCATACACAAAAGTTTAGAGCTGCTAGAAATGTGATTCTTGTAGACAATTCATCGGTTTTAAATCGCAGCCCCCCTAAGGCACCGAAGGGAAGAGAGAGAGAAAACAGAAAGTAAAGAAAGAAACCATCAGATAAGACTATTTAACATCTTATTTTCAAAATATATAGTTCAGCTTAAACCCTTAAAGCCCTCAACCGTGTGGGTTATTTGACAGCGAGTATATGATACCCACTTCATCTAACACAAAACACTTCAGATTTAACATTTTGCCAAATAAAACTTAGTCATCCACCAATAAAATATTTGTAAAGTGAATTGTATCATCAGCTACAAACCTCCAAAGAGATCGCATCGACATTTATTTCAGACACACTTCTCAGTAAGCCTATAAACAATAATAACTAGATAACACATTCAAGACCACGTATGAACTTTCCAAGAACTCATTGAATTACCCAGAATAAGCAAACCCGTGCTGACAAGAAATAGAAATATTTTTCCGATGTACCCAAAAAAAAAATTTAAACAGAAATATCAAAGCAAACAGACACAATCTCTCTCTCTCTCTCTCTTAAAGACATGCATGTATGAATAACAGCGAAGTAAGAGAGATTACCCAGTATTTCCACCAGTCTCTTGGATATCAGAACTGAGTTCAGTTATCCAATCGTCAACATCAACGTTCCAGTTACTTCTATCGTGCTCATAACTATGATCGGCCATCATGCAAACTCTGCGAAATCCAAAACAGCGAAAACAGTAAAAAAATGAAGTAAAGAAAATGTGCATAGTTATCTGCCCAGTTCAAAAGAGGACAAATCATCCACATGCAGAAGATAAAATGGAACCCTAGAAAGTGAAAGTGGCGATAAAGAAGATCAAAAATGGAAAAATCATCAAATTCAAGCTAAAGATACCTGAATTATGTCTACATGTCTTGTTTTCTGTGGATATTTTCCATATAGAGCCTTCAGGTTTTCTTGATTTCAGATATCACAATTGGAGTACTGATTTTGGGAAGTATTTGATTTGTGTTGAGAATCTTGAGATCGATAGTCGAAAGGGAACCTGAGAGTTTAGAGAGAGAGAGAGAGAGAGAGAGAGAGAGACAGACAGAGGGGAGAGAGAGACGTTACATTATGGTAATNTATTTGATTTGTGTTGAGAATCTTGAGATCGATAGTCGAAAGGGAACCTGAGAGTTTAGAGAGAGAGAGAGAGAGACAGACAGAGGGGAGAGAGAGACGTTACATTATGGTAATCCGAGGGAGGTAGTAGACGTTATGTCATGTGGAACATATTACGTGGAGATTTTAAGAGGGAGATCGGGATCCTCTGGATTCCAAAATTTTATCAAGTTTGATACAATCTGATCGATCACCGCTAATTTACCCCAAATCTAATAAGGGAACACAATTAATTATAGCCGCTAAATTAAAAAGACCAATGTTACATAGACTTAAAAATAAGACTTGATAATTTCAATCATTGATTTCACTGTGCGTCCCAACATTTATTGAGACCCACTACCTATTCAATAGTTAAAATTTTCAAGTCTAAATTTTAACTCCATCTGTCATTACTCAATTAAAAATTAGCTTCATCTAATATTATAGCTCAAAATTTATTTAATATCTGAATTAAATTGGGTCTCTATAACGTTACTCTAAATATTTTGGTCAATTCCAATAACACTCTATTATAGTAAAAAAATATGTGCGCGTCTCTGTGCCATTTTTTATCCGATATTAATAGGATATAAAATAATTTTGACTCTTCAAATAAAAAGAGTCAAGTTAGATTCTCTACTTGAATTTTTATAAATATAAATTCTATTAGAAATAATTCAGATTTATTTCAACTCAATTATTTAACCAGAGTTCAAGACATTCAAACTCAACTTTTTGTGATCAGCTATATAAATCTTGTTTATCCATTGTGTTCTATCAAGAGTCATACGTTTTATTAGATCAAAAGTTATTTTATTGCCTCTTGCATTATTGTCGATATGTATCAAATCACTATTCTTTGCCGACATAGTATTAGGTCTTCAATAAACATTTCCAATCTAGCTAAGTTGATATTTTCTTAATTNTAAGACATTCAAACTCAACTCAATGAAGCTTAATCTCAACTTTTTGTGATCAGCTATATAAATCTTGTTTATCCATTGTGTTCTATCAAGAGTCGTACGTTTTATTAGATCAAAAGTTATTTTATTGCCTCTTGCATTATTGTCGATATGTGTCAAATCACTATTCTTTGCTGACGTAGTATTAGGTCTTCAATAAACATTTCCAATCTAGCTAAGTTGATATTTTCTTAATTTATCTTCTATTGGTTTTACTTCTAAGTTTTACAAATATACTTAATTTTTGATTCTATCATTTTTTTTGTTTCTTAATTGCCCAATATTCTATCTCATAACATATTTTTGATCTATTGGTTGTCTCATAAAACTTACCTTACAATCTAAGCGGTATATGTCGTCAATCACATAACACATTGGATATGTTCTTGCATTTAGTCTTTCCTACCCTAATTCTATGATTACCATTGTGTTCAGTCTCTTCCTCTCTATAAATAATTGACTTTAAATATCTAAAGTGTTCACTCTTGGGTATCTCTTGATCTTCAATTTTTACTAGCNATATTGGTTGTCTCATAAAACTTACCTTACAATCTAAGCGGTATATGTCAATCACATAACACATTGGATATGTTCTTGCATTTAGTCTTTCCTACCCTAATTCTATGATTACCATTGTGTTCAGTCTCTTCCTCTCTATAAATAATTGACTTTAAATATCTAAAGTGTTCACTCTTGGGTATCTCTTGATCTTCAATTTTTACTAGCTCCCTATTTGGATTTTTTTTTTTTGAACATGCCTGTTTGGGTTTTTACTATTACTAAAACTACCGTCCATGTATTTGGTTTTATATCTACTTATCCTAAATCTTTTTTATTCTAAAGTGTCCCTTCAAACTTCTAGTTTGTTTTAATTAACCAAGATACCCCCAATATCTTTTAAATATTTCCCAACCTCAATTCGTACATCATCCAGTTTTACTGGTTTTTTCACTTTTTATTTTTTTTTAATATATTCTTTAATCTAGACATCCTAATTCTTTAAAAAAATATATTTTTGTTTGTCTCCCTTTAGGTATTATTTTTGTTCAACCTGTAAATTTTCCATGTGATTTTCATTTAATAACNATTTTTTTTTAATATATTCTTTAATCTAGACATCCTAATTCTTTAAAAAAATATATTTTTGTTTGTCTCCGAAATCCATAATAAAAACAAGTTGGACATTTAAAAGGTACACTAAAAGTAAATTATACTTCTCAAAATAATTTTTTCACCTTTTTTAATTGCCTTTTTTTTTTACCAATATCCTTGAATTCTCGTTTTTAATTAATAAATTTAATATGTTTAGCATTCCTAGTTTTTCTCTCCTTTACTTTTGCAAATCTATATATATTTCTCTCTTCATCATTTGTAAATAAATTTAGAATAAAAATCATCATACGTTTTGTACATAACTTCTCTTACTGCTTTTTTAACTTCTTTATTTCCAAGCTTATGTTATTTACAATTTTCTTTGTTTTTATATTTTTTTTTCGTATTTTATAACATGCTCTATTTGTTTTTATCTTATTTTGGACATTATTATTTCACCACCAAGTTTCTTTAACTAATGATTCCTTATTTTTCAAGGAAAAAAAATGATTCCTTATTTTTTGATACTCCAAGAACCTTTATTGATATTTTTTTGACACTTCATACCATCCTTTTCACATTATATTAGTTACATCTTCTAAATTTTATATTATTTTTTTTAGGATTTTATCTTTAAATAACACTAGTTTTTGTGTTTTTAACTTTGACAACCTAGTTCTTGGGTTTTTAATAACTTTCTTAATCATGAACGAGTTTTGAGACATATATTGAGTAACATTATCTTATGTCGTGTGATCAAATTCTCTCCTAAAATGATCTTAAAATTCTTACATTATAAGCGAAGTATTTTTTTACTTAAGAAAAAATCTATTTGCCTTTTATTTAACCCACTCTTAAAGGTTATTCAATGTTCTTCTCTTTTTGAAATAGGTGTTAGCTATGCTAAGATCACATGCCACTGCAAAATTTAAAAGAATAATATTATTTGAATCTAAAAATCTGACCTAATTTGTTAACACAATGATATGCTTTCAGCAGAACCATNAATAATATTATTTGAATCTAAAAATCTGACCTAATTTGTTAACACAATGATATGCCTTCAGCAGAACCATTGGATCAACACCAAATTCCAATATTTGATGGACCCCACAGTCAATCTAAAAGTTATAGTAAATTAATTCAACAAATTATGTCAGCAAATTAGGCCAGTAAATTAAGCCCTAATAGCATTGCTTTCAGCATCATTCTTATCTCCACACTCATGTCTATCATGAACCATCATATATATACTTATTTTCATAATTTAGTATGTTGGCATAATTCTGTGAGTCATATGAATTGATCTTGAGTCTATTGGGTTACATAACAATGAATATTAAAGGTTGAAAATCACTCTGATGCACTTTCAAGCTTAAGACAAAGTAATGAATTTAGAGACCCAAATTTTTTGGTTTAATTTTAGAATTAGAATGACTAAAGTTCTGGAAATGACTCAATAGGATTTTTTATTGCACCTCTAAGCTTGACCTAATTTGAAACCTTTTAGAGCTAGGGTGCCTCTTTTTGTGAGCCAAAATTTAGTATCTCATATCTTAAAGATATCATTGAAAAACACATATATCTCCAATTTATTTTATTGACATTGTACTCATACATTGTTTCTTTGATATGGCTCGTAATGGTAAATTGAAGATGATTCTTAACAATTCTAATTCCAATGATGAATTGGAGATATTAGCGGTTGCTATTATGGCAATGGATAAACTCAATACTGAGAATAGTTCCAAAATATATTGTAATTCTATTCAAGACAATTATGCTATTTTTCACAATCGAGTTAAAGGGCATGAGAAACTTTATTGCGATTATTTTGCTGAATCGCCTACTTATCCCCCAAATTTATTTCGGAGGAGGTTTTGAATGAATTGATCTCTTTTCGTTCGTATTATATCCATAGTGAAATCTTATGATCCATACTTTGTCCAAAAAAGGGATATTCTTAGGAATATTGGCTTGTCTCCCCTTCAAAAGATGACTGCCGCTATAAGAATACTTGTCTATGGAGTTGCAACAGATATTGTTGATGATTATGTGAGGATCGGCGAAGGCACCGCAATAGAAAGTCTGTAAAGATTTGTATCAGACATAATAGCAATTTATTCTGATAAGTACCTCAGGTCACCAAACAGCGCAAACATTACTAGATTATTGGCAATCGGTGAGAGACATTGGTTTCCTGGGATGCTAGGTAGCATTAATTACATGTATTGGAGATGGAAGAATTATTTAATAACATGAAAAGGTATGTATTTTAGTCACGTCCATGAATCAAAAATTATTTTAGAGGTGGCGGTCTTATGCGATCTATGGATTTGACATGTTTTTTTTGGGTTACCTGAATCCCACAATGATATCAATGTGTTAGAACGTTTTTCTGTTTGTACTCTACTTTCGGAAAGTAGGGCTCCTCCGGTTATTTACTTTGGCAATAGAAACTATTATACTATAGCATATTATCTTGCTGATGGTATATATCCAAAGTGGGCCACGTTTGTCAAAAAGATTCCATATCCAAGAGACAATAAACAAATACATTTTGCACAAGCTCAAGAGTCAACCAGAAAGGATGTTAAAAGAGCTTTTGGAGTGCTCTAAGCATGATTTGCTATAATAAGTGGACTAGCTTTAGAAACTTAAAGTATTTAAGGATATTATGAAGGTATGCATAATATTGCATAACATGATTGTTGAGGATAAGAGAGACGTTAATGAGATGGACTTTAGTTATGATACATTGGATGAAATTCCTACTCCTAAATTGATATCAAAACAGAGTTCAGAACTGCTCCAATTTATTCGTACTCAACATTGCATTAGAAACAGAGATACTCATTTGAGACTCCAAACTGATCTAATCGAGCACCCGTAGAATATGCATGGAATGTTGTAGGCACTAATATGCTATGAATTTTTTACGAATATTTAAGCATTCATTGTCTACGAATATTTAAGCATGCATAATATTACAGTATTTGTTTGTTGTACTACTACTCAAAAATTGTTAGCCTACAAATAAAAAAGAACTACATTTTTTTTCCATGATTTCCATTTGGTCCTGCTTAAAATATTCAGCTTGAATCAGAACTATGCTACTCATGTCCATCAACATTATTCTCTATTCCTCCTTCACTTGCTTGATTTGTATCTTCTCTTTATCATGAGCTAGTCGTTCTTTCTTTTGAGCTAATCTCTCTTGTTCAACACCTAACCGTTCTTTCTCTTGAGCTAATCTCTCTTGTTCTTGAAGATATGATCTTTCTATGAATTCAACTTTCTTCTTCGTCAACATCTTCTTCTCCTCCTTCAATTCTTCAAACAGTTTCATGAAATAGGTTGAACATGAATTATCGCCTTTAGAGAGTTTGCTCTTCAACTTTCTTGCTCGCTTTTTCACAGCCTTTCTTCCGGTTGGCCTATCCAAGCTCTCATATGAACCACTGTCATCTCCTTTGTTTATCGATTCTGGTGTTGAAGGATTATAACTGCTAGGAGTTGCACCACCTTTTATTTTTTGCTTCTTAGATTGAGAATCCTCTATCCATTTTGGTTACTGTAACTCATTCCAACAATGTTCAAATGAAAAAAAGCATTTATGCAGTTCCTTGTACACTTTTTTTGCATCACGGATCTGAAAATTGTACAATAATACTATGTATCATAAAAGAAAAATGCGTTATTTTGACACTTGTAATTAAAAATGCACTCATACCTTGTTTTTCTCGGTCACACCACTTTGATTCAACCTTTCAATTTGGTCAAAGCAACTACAAAATTTATTGGTGACTAGTTGAATTGTCGACTAATGATTCATCAAAAAAACTTGATTGCGATTACAATCTGACTGGGTGTTTGTATTCGTTAAAGTACTCCCAAACCTTTTTCCAATACGTTTTAGATTTTTGCTCATTTTCATGCACAACATCACTAATATTAAGTCAAACCGAGATTAAAACTAAGTTCTCCTCAACTGTAAAGTTGCTGCCTCGAACTTTTTTTGTGGTGGATTCTATTTGAGGTGATATTGGTAAAGAATGACCTATTTGGTCTATTGATTCCGTGTTAAACTCATCTAAGTTTGTTCCGTTGTTCAAGAGATTGGTGAAGTAATATTCATATTCAAATGATTTCATACGTAATGCCTAGAATTCAACCTAAAACATACATTATTCATGTAATTTAACCCAAAACATACTATAACAATAATTCTAATAAAATTTCAAATAATACAAGTTAATAGCAATTTAATACTCATCCACTTCAAATAACAAAAACCAATTGATAATAGCAATTCAACCAAACATTGTATAAATTTAAACACAAATTAATAGTAATTTAACCACCTATTTAACCAAAAATTAATAGCAAATTAACCACCTATTTAATCACAAATCAATATCAAGTTGACCGCCTATTTAACCAAAAATTAATAACAATTTAACAACAAATCAATACTAATTTAACAACCTATTTAACCAAAAATTAATAACAATTTAATCACAAATCAATACTAATTTAACCACCATTTACCCAAAAAATCAATAACAAAAATCAATAAATCAATAAAGATGGGTTTTTAGCATTTAGTTGGGGAGCAACTGCCAGCAACAAGGAGCAGCAAGGAATGGAAGGGTAAATGAATACTTGGTTGTTCACAGTTAAAGAAGTTCAGAAGCCAGCAAGGAGCAGCAAGGAATGGAAAGGGAGATGAATACTTGGTTATTCACAGTTAAAGAAGTTCAGAAGCCAGCAGCAGCAAGGAATGACGAGCAAATCTAGCCTTTCCAGATCTGGCGAGCATGAAAACCTCCTAAATTTTGGCGAGGAAGATGGCTAGTAGAGTGAAGCTCGCCAAAATAGTTAAAAAGGAGAGAAAGACTAGTGGGTTAGAGATGCTCTTAAGTGACATGCTCTAACTCAACTCAAGCCACAATGACCATTTTTGTTGAGTTCGAGGGAATAGTCAACGCAAACCTAAACACCATGTAATANGTGTTCTTATCATCAGGACAAAAAACACTTAATTGAGGACTATCGAGTTTACAATGCTTTCCTTGAGAAAATGGTCCAGGAAGACCACCTCAAGGAATACATCAACGAGGGGAGAACACATGAGGGGGGGGGGGGGAAGACCTTTCAATTCTGACTAGAAAATAAATAAGAGACTCCGGGCATGAAACTCCTACCATTGCGAAATTTGGGATGGTCTGATATAATAATTACAAAAATAAATAAGTTTTGAATTTAAGTGTAACAATTAATATTCTTCAAGACAGATAATAACACAATCCAGGCAACCATGAAATCCCATCCCATGTATTGAATGCTGCGATGCTAGATGTGTGTCCAACCAAAATGAATAGCTTACAACCTAGTAAATTCTCTCTGCTGTGGAGACTGGACGCAGGAAGACAACAATGGCAGTTATGTTATCTTTGCCACCACGTTCAGCAGCTTCAGTCGCCAATCTCTTTGAGCACATCCCAGGCTCTTTCACAGTGTCCCTAATTATGCTTACTACTTCTTCATTGCTCACAACATCCCAGAGCCCATCGCTAGCAATTACCTGACAGTCAAAACACATACACTTCAGCCGTTGAGGCAAATGCTGTCACAACCATTATTTTTTTTAATAAATCAAATTCAAGCCTCCCTCCAACAAAACATAAAACAACAGTCAGTTATTCTCGGTTTATCTTTGACAAATGACATGTTTTCTTCCCCAATTGGTTCCCATCAAAAGATTGTTCATTCTTAAAGCAATACATGAAATTCTATTTAGTTCCAAAAAGTGACAACGTGCCATTGATTTCTTCATTGCAGCTCACCACAATCTTGAAAGCTTTTCAAAAATAGAGCCCTTTGAGCAAAATCCTATATTTGAAAGCACTCGAAATGAAGTCATGAAATGGAGCACAATTAGCTAGAGAAGCGCATGCAACATGCCAAACTGAGCAGCTTTTGACTGGAGTGAAGCCTTTCCTTTTCAACAATCTAATATGAAGCCACCACTATCTGATGATTCTGAACCATTTCTTAAGTGAAATAATAGTATCCAGCATTGAATAACTTTCAATTTTTTCCTACCATGTAAATTGACTATAGTAGGACTAGTTGACTGCTCTGACACAAACATCCAATTGCAAGAAACATTAATGGGAAAAAAAAAAAGAGAAAAAAATCTTGGACACTACTGCAAGAACTGGTAAGACTTTGCAAGAAAAGCAGAAGAAATAACAAATGTATATCCAGATATGATTAGAAACCATCTAAGAAAAATATATTCCTTATATTTCTGGTAAACATCTACAACTGAACAAAGCATATGCAAAGTCCAACTTTGCAAATTTTGTCTTAAAATAGTAGCACTTGTAGGCAATTTTAACGACAAAACAGATATAGTGGACAAAAAAAGAACCGGTTCTGAATCTTTCACTGTTTGTTTTGGGCTTTTAGGAGAATGGAGGTTCAATCGTGATCAGAAAATGGCCCTAACACCTGAATTAAGTCAGATCAAGGGAGATAGTTGGTTTCAAGAAAACCTAAGAACTTTTTGGGAGTAGGCCCATAACCAAATAAAATTATAGCTGGCCAGGTATGATCCTTCTTTTAAATTCCAAACAGCCTCTTACCCAAAAGTAATATTTATCATTGCTCATATCAAACTGATTGCAGCTCTACCCGAAATTTAATTGCATTACAAGCACATGCATAACTAATTAATCCCAGATAAGAACAGTTTACCAAATAAAGGTTCTTACAATGTATTCATCCTCCACAGACAGAATGGTCTCAGTAATCTCAGGTTCAGCAGTTACAGCAGGCTTTAGATCATCATCACCTATGGAACGTGTAACCTGTTAGAAGAAGAAAAGAGTCAAGAATCTAGACGTTAATAATGAATTCTCAGTGACAACTCGTGCATGTTTTAGCAGTTAACCACAATATGCGTGTCCAACTCCACATATTATAGATCGCATATACTNGAAGAAGAAAAGAGTCAAGAATCTAGACGTTAATAATGAATTCTCAGTGACAACTCATGCATGTTTTAGCAGTTAACCACAATATGCGTGTCCAACTCCACATATTATAGATCGCATATATTTATTTAGTGAGCAAAGTTTCTTCAAATCCATTATGAATTGTCTGTGTGATGTAGGACAACTTTGTAAAATAAAAATAGGGACTGTTTAGGAGCTGTGAACAGTAACCGCGAACAGTAATGAGACTGTGAACAGTAATTTTGGCTAGGAATCACTCCTAGGATTCCGTAGGCATCACACAACTTAAAAAACATGTAATTGCCGAAAATTCTGAATATCTCTCTTCATCTATTATTAAAAGTAACACTAACTATATATAGAGTTTTAAGTAATCCTAATCCCAAAAGATTAGGATTCCAAAGTCTCTACAACTTCAAAGACACTAAGTCCTTACAAATTAGAAAACTAAAATTAATTAGAACTAGGACTTTAAATTCTAGAATATTTAATACTAGAATTTGACCCANATATCTCTCTTCATCTATTATTAAAAGTAACACTAACTATATATAGAGTTTTAAGTAATCCTAATCCCAAAAAATTAGGATTCCAAAGTCTCTACAACTTCAAAGACACTAAGTCCCTACAAATTAAAAAACTAAAATTAATTAGAACTAGGACTTTAAATTCTAGAATATTTAATACTAGAATTTGACCAAAAAATATGACTTATTCCAAAAATTCTGAAAATTACAAAAATACCCCTAACACTAAAAATATTAAAATGACATATAAAATATTAATACTAGCAAACTAACTCAAAGCAACAAAAAATAAGACTCTATTTATGCTTATGCAATCTCCCAAGTAGACTCCTCATCATCCAACATGTGTCNATATTTAATACTAGAATTTGACCAAAAAATATGACTTATTCCAAAAATTCTGAAAATTACAAAAATACCCCTAACACTAAAAATATTAAAATGACATATAAAATATTAATACTAGCAAACTAACTCAAAGCAACTAAAAATAAGACTCTATTTATGCTTTATGCAAGCTCCCAAGTAGACTCCTCATCATCCAACATGTGTCAAATTAAAGCTCGAGCCTTGGAAGCATCTTTTTCTCGTCTTCTATAAACTTTGTAAGGTTGTTGCCATTTGTCCCCATCATCTCTCCCCAGCTTAAAAAAACTCGACCTAGGCGAGTTAAATGCATGAAACCGTTCATAGAAGTCAGGGTTTAGACATTGAAACTCATTATCAGTGATCCACATGCAATCAAAAAGTGGACGCCCCTTCCATTTGATGAGATACCTTTGATAGCCACCTCCTCTAGTAGACACAAGTTAATGATCAATAACATCTTCAATCTCTTCCTTCACCTGTGGAGCTAGTGGGAGTTTAGCAACAGTAATATCTGTAGGTGTATCATCATCATGCCCTCAATATAAAGATCCTCAATATTGAAGACATTACTTAGCCCCATATTTTCCGGCAAGTTAAGAACATAGGCATTAGAGCTTATTTTCTTCATAATCTTGTAAGGGCCAGCACTTTTTGAATGAAGTTTCTTGTATGCACCCTTGGGATACCTTTCAGGCCTAATACGGACCATAACCATGTCTCCTTGAATTNAGGATACCTTTCAGGCCTAATACAGACCATAACCATGTCTCCTTCCATGAATTCAGCGAACTTTTTCCTCAAATCAGCATGTGCTTTGTAGCTATCATTGCTTGTTGCAATCCTTCATCGCACTTCATCATGTATCTCATGCATATGTTTGGCAAAAACATCAGCTTCAACACTAGGACGAGCCTCTATGGGTAAGGGAACCAAATCTATTGGTTTCCTAGGAAGTAAACCTGTCACAATTTCAAAGGGGCTACGACCTGTAGATCGATTAACAGAACTGTTATAAGCAAACTCAACCATAGGAAGTACGTGGTCCCAATTAGCAACATGATCACCAACAAGGCAGCAAAGGAGATCGCCCAAACTTCGATTAACAACCTCCATTTGTCCATCAGTTTAAGGATGAAAAGAGGAGAAAAACTTCAGTCTTGTATTCAGCAATTTCCATAAAGTTCTCCAAAAGTAACTCATAAATTTCACATCATTGTCCTAGACAATTGTTTTAGGTAGCCCATGAAGACGAACAACTTCTTTAAAAAAAGTTTAGCAATATGGATGGCATCGGATGTCTTTGAACAAGGAATAAAATGAGCCATCTTCGAATATCGATCCACCACGACAAAGATAGAATCATGACCCCGAAAGATTTTTGGCAACCCTAGGACAAAGTCCATACTTAAGTCTTGTCATGGTTCATGAGGAACAGGTAATGGCATGTACAAACCTATATTTTTCTTCCTTCCTTTTGATATTTGACAAGTCCAACATCGAGAGACAACTTTGGCTACATCTCNTGTATCTCATGCATATGTTTGGCAAAAACATCAGTTTCAACACTAGGACGAGCCTCTATGGGTAAGGGAACCAAATCTATTGGTTTCCTAGGAAGTAAACCTATCACAATTTCAAAGGGGCTACGACCTGTAGATCGATTAACAGAACTGCTATAAGCAAACTCAGCNAGTAAACCTGTCACAATTTCAAAGGGGCTACGACCTGTAGATCGATTAACAGAACTGTTATAAGCAAACTCAACCATAGGAAGTACGTGGTCCCAATTAGCAACATGATCACCAACAAGGCAGCAAAGGAGATCGCCCAAACTTCGATTAACAACCTCCATTTGTCCATCAGTTTAAGGATGAAAAGAGGAGAAAAACTTCAGTCTTGTATTCAGCAATTTCCATAAAGTTCTCCAAAAGTAACTCATAAATTTCACATCATTGTCCTAGACAATTGTTTTAGGTAGCCCATGAAGACGAACAACTTCTTTAAAAAAAGTTTAGCAATATGGATGGCATCGGATGTCTTTGAACAAGGAATAAAATGAGCCATCTTCGAATATCGATCCACCACGACAAAGATAGAATCATGACCCCGAAAGATTTTTGGCAACCCTAGGACAAAGTCCATACTTAAGTCTTGTCATGGTTCATGAGGAACAGGTAATGGCATGTACAAACCTATATTTTTCTTCCTTCCTTTTGATATTTGACAAGTCCAACATCGAGAGACAACTTTGGCTACATCTCGCTTCAAACTTGGCCAATAATAACGGTCTTCAACCATGACAATGGTTTTATCTCTTCCAAAATGACATGCTACCCCTCCAGAATGCAGTTCCCGAATCACTTGTTCACGTAGAGATGTGTTAGGCAAACAAAGACGAGTTCCCTTGAAGAGATAACCGTCATGCAAAGAAAAATCTGAATATGTTACATGTTGTCCAACCTTCAAATCAGTATATATATTGCAGAAATCTTTACAAGATGGGTAGTCCCTTTTAAGTAAATCAAAGTCTACCACTTGTATAGCCATTGAGGAGAGCATAAGCACCTTTCGACTTAGTGCATTAGCTGCCTTATTCTCAACACCGGCCTTATGTTTGATCACAAAAGTATATTCTTGCAGAAAAGAAATCCATTTTTCATGTCGATGATTCAACTTCTTTTGGGACTTGATATATTTAAGTGCTTCATGGTCGGAGTATAATACAAATTCCATGGGAATGAGATAATGTCGCCAATAACGAAGTACTTGCACCACAACATAAAACTCTCTGTCGTAACTAGAGTACTTTTGTTTCGCCTCATTCAACTTCTCGCTAAAATAAGCAATAGAATGGCCTTCTTGACTAAGTACACCACCAATTCCCACATGTGATGCGTCACATGCTACCTCGAACACCTTTGAAAAATCTAGAAGTTGCAAAACTAGAGCTTCAGTCATTCTCTTCTTGATATCTTCAAAAGCTTGAGAGGCAAGCTTGGTCCAATTGAAGTGCCCCTTCTTCATACAATTAGTGATTGGTGCCATGATGGTGCTGAAATTTCTAATAAAGCGCCAGTAAAATGTGGCCAGCCCATGAAAACTACGGACTTCATGCAAAATGGAAGGAGTAGGCCACTCACGAATAGCTTTCACCTTGTTTGGATCAGCTTCCACACCTTTAGAAAAGATAACAAAACCCAAAAAAACTGTTTTCGGACTCATAAATGAACATTTTTTTATGTTTATGTACAGCTTCTCTTGACAAAGAACTCTCATAACTTGTTGGAGATGAAGAAGGTGCTCCTCCATAGTCTTGCTATAGATTAAAATATCATCAAAGTAAACAACTAAAAAGCGACCAATGAATGGTTGAAGTACTTGTGTCATAAAACGCATGAATGTACTAGGGGCATTGGAAAGACCAAATGGCATAACTAGCCGCTCATAGAGTCCATCTTTTGTCTTAAAAGCAGTCTTCCACTCATCTCTGGGTCTTATGCGTATTTGATGATATTCATTCTTCAAATCTATCTTTGAATAGATAATAGAACCAGCCATCATGTATAGTAGATCATCAAGGCGAGGAATAGGAAATCGATACTTGATAGTAATCTTGTTAACAACACGACTATCAACACACATACGCCAAGTACCATCTTTCTTCGGTGTAAGCAAAGCGGGGACAGCACATGGACTTAAACTATGGCGAATAGAACCTCTGGACAGCAACTCATCTACTTGTCTTTTAAGCTCGGCATGCTCACTTAGGTTCATGCGATATGCTGGGAGATTAGGCAATTGAGAGCCCGTTGC